ACAATTCCCTTTGAATTCAATCCACCGAAGCTGAAAACAATTGTTGCTAGACCAGTTTTTCCCTAAGGTTTACAAGGCTCATAGCAAAAGCTGTGAATATGGCAATATTATATGTTTTTACAAGTGAATTCAGAGTTATCCTAGAGAGGAGATAGAGGCCAGCTTCTGAGATGCATCTGCTTTGCATGATGTTTCTCCTTCTGCTGGGACTGTGTCAAGCAGCAGGAGCCAAGCCGCTTTCTGCACTGCTTCCTCAAATAGAGTTGATTAGGATGATTCAAAGGGAGTAAAGCTTTCAAGACATTCATTTGCTGATTGGGAACAACACAAATGAGAAAAAATAGCTGTAAACATTCATTAATTATTGGTACATGGAATGCACCAAGTATGAATCTACAAAAATTCAAAGTTGTCAAAAATGAAATGGAATGCACTAATATCAATACCGTAGTGAGCTGAAATGGACAGATATTTTGAATCTGACAATCACATGGTTTAGTATGCCAAGAATTACAAATTGGAAAGGAATGGTGTCTCATTCATCATAAAAAAGAGCATTGCTAGACCTATCTTGAAGTATAATGGTGTCTGTGATAAGATAATATTCATACTCCTACAAGGTGGACCAGTTAATACCACTATTATGCAAATTAAGGAGCTCTGGTACTGTAGTGGTTACAAGTCCAGCTGCTAACCTCAAATTCAGCAGTTCAAAACTACCGGCCATTCTGTGGGAAAAAATGAAGTTTATGTTCCTGTAAAGATTTACAGCCTCAGAAACCCTATACAAGGATGCTATGAGTCAGAACCAACTCCACGGCACAAAACCACCACCACCACCATACAAATTTAAACACCAACCACTGAACCCAGTGATGATGAAGTTGAATTCTACCAACTTATTCAGTATAAATTGATCAAACATGAAATCAATATGTATTCATAATTAACTGGTGATTGGAATGCAAAGTTTTAAAACAAAGAAGGAACAATAGTTGGAAAATATAGCCTTGGTGATAGAATTTTGCAAGACCAAAGACTTCTTCATTGCAAATAGCTTTTTTAAACAACATAAAAGACAGCTATACACATGGGCCTCACTAGATGGAATATACAGAAATCAAATTGTCTACATTTATGGAATAAGATGATGGAAAAGCTACATATTATCAAACAAAAACGTCCAGGGACAGACTATGGAGTAGACCATCAATTGCTTATAAGCAAGTTCAAGCTGAAGTTGAATAAAATTTAAACAAGTCCACAAGAGTCAAAATATGACCTTGAATATATCCCACCTGAATTAGAGACCATATCTAGAGCGGATTTTATGCACTAGACACTAATGACTGAATACCAAATGAGTTGTGGGATAACATCATACACAAAGAAGGTTAAAAATCATTAAAAAGACAGGAATAAAAGTAAAGATGAAAATGGATATCAGAAGAGGTTTAAAACAGTAATGCAAATTGAAGTCAGTCAACAAGCTGATGTAGCACTTGAGGCACTCACTCATCTATGCCAAGAAATTTGGATGTATGTCTGTTACCTCATCAATTGATTGGAAGAGTACCATATCTGTGTCCATTCCCAAAGATGTGACCCAATAGAATAGTATTCAATATTATTGATATTGAATAATATCAATAATATTACATGAAAGTAAACTTTTGCTGAAGATAATTTAAAAATGGTTGTAACAGTGCATTAACAAATAACTGCCAAAAATTCAAGTTCAATTCAAAGAGAACATGGACCTAAGGATGTCATTGCTGATGTCAGATGGATTTTGGCTATAAGTAGAAAATATCAGAAAGATGTTTATTTGGGTTTTGTTGGTTATGCAAAGGCTTTTTGACTGTGTTGATCCTGACAAACTATGAATAGCATTGAGAAAAATGAGTATTCCAAAATACATAATTGTACTTATGGGGAACTTTTGGTCAGATAACTAGGAAGTTGTTAGAATAGAACAAGGGGATTTTAAACTGAGTGGTTTCAAATCAGGAAAAGTATGTGCCAAGATTGTGTCCTTTCACTTTATTTATTCAATCTGCTTGTTGAACAAATAATCCAAAAAGCTGGATAAAACAAAGAAGAACATGGCATCAGGATTGGAGGAGAGTTATTAACAGACTTAGATATGCAGATGATACAACCTTGCTAACTGAAAGTGAATAGGACTTAAAATACTTACTGATGAAGATCAAAGAATACGGTCTTCAGTATGGATTGCTCCTCAATGTAGAGAAAACAAAAATCCTTACAACTAGACCAAAAAATAACATCATGATAAATGGAGAAAAGACTGAAGTTGTCAAAGACTTTATTTTGCTTGGATCCACAATCAACTTTAATGGAAACAGCTGTCAAGAAATGAAACATTTTGCATTAGATAAATTTTCTGCATAAGACCTTTTTATGTGTTCCAAAGCAAAGGTATCAGTTTGAGAACTAAGGTGCACCTGACCCAAGCCATACCTCATATGTATGTGAAACTTGGAAAATGAATAATTAAAATCACAGAACTGATGAATTTGACTTACAGTGTTGGAGAGAATATTAAAACTACAGTGTACTTCCAGAAAAACAAATAAATATGTGTGGGAGAAGTACAGCAGGAATGCTGCTTAGAAACCAGGATGATGTGATCTCAACTGTCATACTTCAGATATGTTATCAGAAGGAATAAGTCCCTGGAGAAGGACATCATGCTTAGAAAAATAGAGGTCAATAAAAAAGAGGAAGATTCCCAATGAGATGGAATGACACAGTGGCAGCAGCAACAGGCTTAAACATGGAAATTGTGAGAATTGCATAGAACAAGGCAATGTTTCATTCTTTTGTGCATAGGGTTGCACTGAGTTGGAACCAACTGGATGGCACCTTAAAAAAAAAAATAGTTGATAGTTGTAAAATGTAAAACAGGTTTGAGAAGGTAAAGACAAAAGATCAAAAATTAAGAGACTTGGGGGTAGAATATGAAATACCAACATTTATCTAGTGGGAATGCCAAACAGGGCAACCAAGAGAATATATTGATACTAAACAAGTAAAGACAGAGACTTTCCCAAATTTATGTCCAATTCCCAGATTGAAGAATCATAATGAATCATCAGTTGGATGATCAAAAAATAATCTTCTCTTAAGCAAAGATAGGGTAAACATTGGACTGCAAGGTAGGTTTGAACTACAAGCTTGGTGGTTCTAACCCACTAACTCCTCAGAAACCCTATACAGGGTTATCATGAGGCAGAGCAAACAACAATAACAACAAGCAAAGATAATATCTTAATTACAGCCAGAAAGTAGAAATAATTACAACAAAAGAAAAACAGTATATGTTCCAGCAGTTAAATTCAATATGTTCTCCAAAGCAACAATAGATACCAGAAGCCAATATGATATATCTAAGATGCGACTGCACTATTAAACCAGAATTCTAAACCCAATTTGAATCTTATTTAAGAGTGAGGCTAAGTTGAAAAGCAGGATTAAAAGGAATTTACATCCTTGATGAATGTACTTTTAAGGAGAATAAAACACAGATCCTGCAGGGGAGGGAAGGTGGTGTTAGGGAGGTAGGAGATAAGTAGCTTAAAAGAAGCAAAATTAGACAAGATTAATTAATTTTGAAAGAAAAATGGAACATATTTCAGAACTAATGGTCTTCTATTACTAGAAGACAAAGACAGTTACTTCTAAATGTTTTAAATAAAATGATGCTGAAAACTAATTGCTTGTCAATACTTAAAATTCAACAGTCTTTTCATAATTTTTTTTCATTAATTTTAATATACATTAAAAAAAATTATTTAGTAAAGAATGTAAATTTTCTAAACCATGGAGTGAGAACAGGAAAATGTTAAACTAATCAATCCCAGAGGTGCTATGAAAGAAGAAAAATGAAGAAAAAGAGAGAAAAAAAGAAATTATGCATAATAAAAAATAATAATTCCAATTTATATCTATTTATGGGTTTCTTCTAACTCATAATTCATGTTTTATTTCTTATAGGATGATGGTGAACCTCTTTTTCAACCAAACAAGAAATACAATGCAAAGGATTCATTTTATAAGTCTTCTACACAAAAGTAAGCATTTTGTCAGTTAAATTTTGATGCATAAAATATTTATTTATGCTTGATGACATATAGCCTTTGTGGATACAGTATCCTGGATCCTCTAAGTAAGTCAGAGAACATTTACCACTGTGTTGTTGTTGTTAGGTGCCATCAAGTCAGTGCCAACTCATAGCAACCTTATACACAACAGAATGAAACATTACCTGGTCCTGCTCCAACCTCACAATCACTGCTACGCTTGAGCCCATTGCTGTTGCCACTATGCCAATCCATCTCATTGGGGGGCCTCACTCTTTTTCACTGAACCTTCACTTTACCAAGCATGAAATCCTTCTGCAGGGACTTGTTGCTCCTGATAATATGCCTTTAGTATGAGAAGCAGAGTCTGGCCATCCTGGCTTCTAAGGCGCATTCTGGTTTTACTTCTTCCAACACGTATTTGTTTGTTCTCTTTGGTGGTCCATGGAACTTCTAATGTTCTCCTCCAACACCATAACTCAAATGCATCAATTCTTCTACTATATTCTCTATTCATTGTGCAACTTTCACATGCATATGAGGTTATCAAAAATACTATGTCTTGGGTCAGGCACACCTTAGTCTTCAAACTGACGTCTTTGCTCTTGAATATTTTAAAGAGGTCTTATACAGAAGATTTGCCAATATCTATCACAGATATTTATAATTAGGTTATAACGGTAGCAAATTCAAAAGGTCAATGAAAATCCATAGAAGAAAAGCAAACCGAGAAGAAATTATCATTACTCATTCAACAAGTATTTATTGAGCATCTATTATATGCTAACCTTCTAGTCTCTGACATACATTGGTGAATAAAACAGACCACCATCTTTGGGCTCAACTCTAAAGGTAGGAAAAACAATAAGAAAAAAAAATGTATCTTATGTTAGTAGGTTTGATAACTCTATGGAAAAAAAAAAGAAAGAAAAAAGTAAATAGAAAAGGATATAGAGGAATCTAGAGTGGCAGGGATTGTGGGGATTTTGTTGTTGCTGCTAGGTGCTGTTGGGTCAGTTCCAACTCATAGAAACCATATGCACAACAGAATTAAATACTGCCCAGTCCTGCATCAACATCAATGAACAGGCTTTAGACTTCTAGCATGATGTTGGACTACACAGATGCACTACATAAGTCCTCTACAACAATGATATGAGAGACAAAACAGACACAGATGAAAATTCTGGCAGGTTGAACAAAAGAAATAAAGTTTGAGAGGTCAGTGGAATGCTAGGAAGCCAATGCTAGGAGGAGACACCAGGAAGGGACATTGAGAGATGGAAACTGATGAGTGAATGGCTGGTCCCATGTGACTTGACCATCTTGTGAGAAGGTTTGGCAATACAAGAAGGTTTAGCAGAACAGATTTGCACAGGCAGTGGGAAAGGTGTGCTTCTTTTTCCCCATTCTCCCCTTGTGCTTAGAAGTGTGGCCAGCTCCTATCCTCATCCTTCCCCAGCACAGACCCTGCTCTCTGGGAGTTTGGTGCCATGTGGCTGGAAGCCATGACAGTGCAAGATGGGGGCCAATTGTGCTGCTTTGGTTCCTGGATTTGGGGGCTTGGCTCCACACCTACAGACCTTAAGAGCCACCAGACCAGAATTTAACCAGTCATGCTGTCCCCAGTTCGTTGTGGTCCTAACAGACACTGAAACCAGCTCTACCAAGGGACCCCATGAACTACTTCTGGACTGAGTGCCCTAAACATAGATAACACCAAGGCCAATAGGAAGTCCATCTAGGGTCAGGACATCTGCTGTCACATCCTTTCCACAACCACCTTGTGAACTTCTTGAATTACAGGAGCCTCTCCCAACCCCCAACCCCCAACCCCCCCAGATTTCTTTCTTCTGGTCCAACAACTGCACTGTTCATTTTTATAAATACAATAATACCACAATTCTCTGATGACAACAGACAATTTTAGCTCAGACGAAGAAACAAGAAAGAATGGCTCAAACAAATGACCACGATTCTGAGGAAGAAAAAGTACTGGAACTAACTGAAAAAGAATTCAAAAGAATGATAATTAGCTACCTTCAAAGGATCTATAAAAATATTGAGGAAAGCAAGGAGAACACAATAAAAACTTTAAAAGAATTCAGGAAAACACTACAAGAACAAACAGACAAAATAAATGCAAACTTTGAAACAAAAGAAAACCTGCAGTTATAAATCCAGAGCATTAATACTAAGATCTCAGAAATGGACAATATACTGAAAGGGAAAAGGAGTAGATGCAAAACAATGAAAGCCCAAATGTGTGAACTTGAAGATAAATCTTTCAATACTAGAAAAACAATCCCCCAAAAAAGGAAATTAAAAAATCAAAAGAATGCCTAAGAGTTATGTCGAACAGCATGAAGAATTAGAATTTATGGGTGATCAGAATTCCAGCAAAGAAAGATACAAGCACAAAGAAAATTGTTGAAGAGTTATTGGAAGAAAACTTCCCTAACATCATGAAATATGAGAATATAAGCATACTAGAAACAGAACAAACCCTAAACAGAATAGACCCCAAAAGAAAATCACCAAGACATATGATAATTAAACTTTCCAAAATCAGAGACAAGGAAAGAATCCTGAGGTCAACACAGGGAAAACAAAAGTTCCCTACAAAGAGAACAAGTAAGCCTAAGCTCAGATTTCTCAGCAGAACCCATGCAGGCAAGAAGGCAATGGAATAACATATACAAAACTCTGAAGGAAAAAGATGTTCCACCAAGAACCATATACCCAGCAAAGCTACCCCTCAAATACAACAGTGAAATGAGGGCATTTCCTGAAAAACAGAACTAAAATAATTTGTAATGACCAGACCAACTTTACAAAAAATGCTAAAGAGTGTTCTTTGGACTGAGAAACAATAATAGCAGACAACAACCTAAGATTACCATACATGACAAAACCATCCAGAAATCAATCCAGATATACAAATGTTTAAAGTAAAACAAACCTACAAGATATAGCAATTATAATGAAGTCAATTACAAAGCAACAAAGAGGAATAGCGTAGATATAGAACTTCCAAATGGCAAGGAAGTTAAGTAAATTTCATGATAAAACAGATTGTTTCAAGCAGG